CGAATCATTCATGATCCAGCCTCATCTACAGAAGAAGTGAGTATAATGTTTTGTAATGAATCTTTGCAAATCGCCTTTCCTAATAATGTGTTAATTAGCAAGTTTCACATTGAATGTGGCTAAAGTAAACAGTCTCTCCGAGAGCAGCTCGGAAGAAAGGGGTCAGCATAGCTCATTAACATTTAAAGGAAAATGCTACAAAAACGGCTTGATTTGAAAAGAACTGTGTTTGACAGGGTAAAAAAAGGTGTTTTTTACACTACCATTGAGAAATTTTAACCAAACTATGTTACAGACTTTTCATTAAGACCCTAAAGAATCATATCAACTTGTGGAAAATGGGCATCCTATGACCCCTTTAATACAAGAATTTTGCAAGACTTGCGCAAAAAATAGGACAAAAACTTGAGTCAGGCAGAACATGTAGTTGTGCTAGTTGGGAAAATGCTAATGTAGGTGTTTTCGTAGAGACGTTTGTTCAAATTAAAACCACCCGTAATGGTTATCTCAAATTCAACATTGGCCTCCATTGTCTCCTACATGTGCTAGAAGCAGCAAAAATGTTTGCAGCTTCGCACATACAGTATAATGTGCTGAGCAATGACTACAAATGGAAATTTGCATTCACATATTCCCTGTGATGTGTATATCACCTCAAGCCGCACGTCCTTACCTGTCTGTCCGGCATCCATTCAACCTTTAGCTCTCCATGGAGACAGACGGCTATTTTTAGCTCTGCATAACAACACAGTTTCTCAACAGATGGGATCATTTAGAAGTTTTGGGTAAAAAAAAGTGAGCACATATGCAGAATGTTCACCTTTAGAAACTACCATCAGCTGTTATGGAATTGATTTTTTCTGCAGTCCACTAAGCGATTCGAGTCATTTAAAAGTATAGTTTGTTACTTCATCTGGACCGATTTGGACAAATTTAGCATTACATCACTTGCTCACCAATGGATGCTCTGCAGTGAATGGGTGCCGTTAGAATGAGAGTCCAAACAGCTGATAAAAACATCACAGTAATCCACATGACTCCAGTTCATCAATTAATGTCTTGTGAAGCAAAAAGCTATTTTTCTGTAAGAATCAAATCCATAATTATGCTATTTTAATGTTAAACTGTTGCCTCCGGCCAAAATACTACTCCATAATAACGCTACCTCCAGTGGAAAAAGTCCACTGACATAATTATTTGGAACTGTTTTGGAGTTTTTGCGTGTGTGCTTTATAAGTGCATATTTCTCTCCTGATTCAGACAAGACTACTTGTTCACTGGAGAAAGCAATATTTATAATAGAGGACTCGTATTTTAGCTGGAAGCAATAGTTTGATGGTAAAAACTATTCAAATTGTTTCTTACAAATGCACAGCTTTTCCCTTCACAAGATGTTAATTGATAGATTGGAGTCGTGGATTTTTTGTGGGTTATTGTGATGTTTTTATCAGCAGTTTGGACTCTCATTCTGACGGCAACCATTCACTGCAGAGGATCAAGTAACGTTAAATTTGACTAAGCAAACCCATCTACATCTTGGATGGCCTGAGGGCGAGTACATTTTCAGCAAATTTTCATTTTTAAATAAAAAAAAAACACTGTACAACGACGTAATCGAACTGCTAACTGACTCACCATGTTGCTAATTCTGAATTGCTTTTCTTATAATGTCTTCCTTGTCATTTGTCTCACTTCCTCGCCTTCTCTCTCTCTCCGACATGCATTGGCCTTTGGACTCTGTGTTCAGGGTTAATCTCAAGCTGTCAGCGCTGAGAGATGAACATGGTTTTGCGCTGTCCATATGGATATTCACTTCCTGTCATTTTCTGAAATGGCTGTCATACGTTTCGCTCTCATTCTGCTGTCTTGCATTAATCACTCACAGATTCTACACCACTAGATGTGTTTCAGCATTTGTAATTTCATATCACTGCTCAAATATATGCGTTATGGACCTTCAAAAGTGCAATACCCTACTACAGTGGCTCTCAACCACTGCCGAAGGGCCTCCAAACAAATATGCTTTTGCAGTATTGCAATATGCAAATATGGATTTGTTAACATTAGCTAATATGAACTAGCAATGACTATTACATTTTTAACGTATGTATTACTCTGTTAATGTTAGTTGTATAATTGTTGATCATTTGTTCTTCTTAGTTCACACTGCATTAACAAATGTAAACAAATACAACTTTTGATTTTAATAATGTTTTAGTACATGTTGAAATTAGTTAAGATTATTTTTCATTATTTGTTCATGTTAAATAATGTTGTTATTGCATGAAACCTTATTGTAAAGTGTTACCAACATGTTTAATTCACAAATAGCAATTGCTGCCTGATAAAACATTTTAGAGCTTGACGATTCACACTCATTCTAGAAAATTCACATAAATTTTACTTCCTTAGGTCTGGGAATCACACTTTTGAAATTCCCTCATATACAGTATTCAGGTTTTCCAAGAACTTTAGTTCTCAAATCAAATTAATTATTCAGAGAATGAACTAAAATAAGCTATTTTATTTTAAAGATAAATATCATACACAAAAAAATGGGAGAATATAAGTTTTGTTATATTAACATTAATATAAAAAAATAAACCAAAAATGTCAAAATTGTTGCCTAGTTTATTTATATCATATATACTTTATTTTAACTTATTTTGAAGCTAAGCAGTATATATATATAATATATATATACTGTATATATAGTTGGAATTCACATAAAGAGGGATCTTAGAACGCATCTTACTTTCTGGTAGTGTACCTATAATGGCTTGAAGTGCCGCCTACATGGGCAGCTCACTAGATTTTGGAATAGAGCCATCGCACTCCCTTCTTTTCCAAGGAGGTCCTTCAGTGGAGGTTCTTTAAATACGGTTATCTCCCATCCTCAATAGAAGTACCACCTTTTAATTTTGCTTTTATCTCTCCCTCCTTTTCACTCCTTGAAGCCTTTATCATGGGGCTGTCCACATTTATCAGCACTGTTATGGTAGTGTGCTTGGCCGTTTGACTGCATCTGACCTCCCGTCAGCGGGTGCCGCGCAGCTCCGTGTCCGGCTGGAAAGAGCCAGGGGTGACAGACTGGCCCCGTCCAGAACACTCCAGATCTGACAGTAATTGGCTCATGCCTGTGCTCTCCTTAAGGACCCCTGACAGCTGGTGGGTGGATTTTTTGTGCACCAATTAGGATGAGGAAAAAATCGCATTCCCTTCAGAGAGTGAAAGAGAGAGAGCAGCCACCTTCACGATAGCGGCATCGAAAGCTTTGAACGTTTTCTTTAAAAGCAGGGAAGAGAAGCCGTGGCTTCTACTTGAGCAGATGAGGAATGAATTGGATGGAAGTCAGACTGCAAGTAATCAACTGAGGCTTATGCTATCTTTAGGGCGCTTGGAGGCTCGTAGCCAATTTGTTTTAAACATTAGCGTGTAAGTGTTCAAAGAGAATCAGTTAATTGATTGTTGAACTGTGCAACCTTCGCATCCACCAGGATTTGCTTTCATCAGCTGGATGGCCAGTACTCTTGAACATTAAGAGCGTGGTTGTTGCGTGATCATAAGCATTGATTGCGATATGGCTGGACGTAGGAGTGTGGAGAGTGAGCAACATTCTCCAAATCAGTGTTTTACTCCAAGCGCACAAACACTCGGTAATAGTATCGATTGCATTCTCCATAGTGGCCTGAAGGGTTAAGGTGGGCTAAATGCTTCAGGTACTGTCCAAAGCGGAGTTATTTTTTTAAGAGAAGGCACGAATGTTTGATTTCTTACAGGGAAAGAAGAAACTGAAAGATATTTAGTGTACTTAGGGCCTTTTTCCTTGGGTAGACTCTTGCTCTTAGCTTAGCTTAAGGACTTTCAGTTCTTGTTTAATAAAAGAAATGCATTATTTAAAATATTGAATTTATTTTTGTATTTAATATTTTTCATTTAGAATTTTTTTTACATCACATTATATATTAGGGCTGTCGGTCGATTCAAATGTTTAATCTAATTAATTACATGGTGCGGCGATTAATTAATTGCAAACTAAATTTGGCTGTGAAAATACCCACAAAATAATAATTAAAGCTATTATTATGTTAAATGAGAAAGTATAAAGAAGACATTACAAATATTAGCTTTAGAAAGAAATATTTTATTTGATTTAACATACAATTGACTACACGTAAACATTTAGGCTACAATGGCATAACATAAATTATGGAAAATAAAAGCAGATAATTTGAGAAACATGTCAGTATTTTTTTGTTCATGCAATGAAAGTCACTGATAACCAAAAGAGCTTTGTTACAACAGTCTTTTTTTGTGAAAGAAGGTAAAAAAAAAAAACATGGTTAATTTTCGTAAGGGACACCTAAACATCTCCAACTCAACGCAGAGGACCATTGACCTACCCAAAGTCTGTACATACATCGTTTTGTTTCCATAAGGGGCCGCTGACAGATCTTGAGCCTGACACAAACCATTAACTCTGAATGATGACAATTAAATATATTATAATTTAATGAATAATTCTGTCATTCACTAGGAAAGGAACAGATTAGCTTTAGCATGTGACTCTGGTTCAATCGTCACAAGATATTTGTTATGACAACCAAACATGAAATCATATATTAGTTGGTATTTTGATTCTTTTACGCCGTCCCCACAGGGCAGAGTTGAATGTGCACACAATGTTCCTTTCATGCCGACCGATTGAACAGCAGGTACACAATGTTAAATTCGATTAGCCTCAGAGTCACCACCCAGACTTTGGAGAAACATTTTGACAATGATTTTAGTATATTTCAGCAACACACAAATACAGTTTTGTCAATGTAAATTAACCCTAAAGTTAGCTTTAACGCTATTTAAATAAATAGCAAGTTAGCATGCTAACATTAGAAATGTTAATGGGTAAGCTATCTGTACTAGCCATCTGTTTTTGGTTGTATTTAGCAAATTGCTATACAACTTCTAGGGTGTTATGTGTGTTTCCCAGGGTGTGCTAAACTTAGAAATGTTAGTATTTGTAGTGAAACTGTAATTATACAAATAGTAATCAATATGTCAAAAAAAGCACGGTTACTACACTTTCACTTAAGTAAAACCATGGTTAATTTTTGTTAGGGAAGTGTGGAATTAGCAAAATGCTATGCATTTGTGGTTGCCCAGGCATGTAAACATTTGACAGGTGATAAACTGTCTATAGTTAGCCACAATTCTAGTATGTTGTGGGTAGTTCCAAGTTGTTTGCTATGCAGTGAAAGCATACGGAGTGGATTTAATAAATTGTTATGCAGATTTAAAGGCGTTTTGTGTGGTTGTTAGATTGTGCTAATATAAGTACATGGCCAATCTATTTGTATTTAACCACATTTCTTAAACTGCAAAATGCTATGCAGTTTAAAGGTGTGTTGTGTAGTTACGAGGGTGTGCTAACACTAAACATGGTAATATCTAAGCTATCTGTAGCTATCCACAAACCTAATGTGCTGTGTGTAGTTCACGGTGTGGTTGCTATGCAGTTAAAGTGTTCTGAGTGGATTTAATGAAATTCTATGCAGTTTCAAGGGTGTTTTGTGTCATTGCTAGGGTATGCTAACATTAGACATGTTAATGGCTTAGCTATCTGTAGATAGCCACAAATCTAGCATGTTCTGGGTAGTCTTCAGGGCCCTTGTGCGTTCAGAGTGGATTTAGCAGATTACTGTGCAGTTAAGGATGTTTTGTGTGGTTGCTAAAGCATGCTAACATGTTTTTGGGTAAGCTATCTGTACATAGCCATGTTGGGGTGGTGTAGGAAGATTTTCTAAAGCATTTTGATGTGCTTACTAAAGTGTTCTGATTGGATTTTGTGAGTTGCTATGTACAGTAGATTTATGGGTGTTTTGTGTGGTTGCTAGAGCTAACATTAGATATGTTAATGAGTAAGCTACCTACCTAAGTACCTAGCTATGCTAGGTTGTTGTATGTAGTGTCCCATGTGTTTCTGTGTGGATTTAGTGAGTTGCCATGCAGTTTCAGGGGTATTCTATGATGTTGCTATGAGTTGAGTGAGAACACAAGCATTGCACATGTGTTGCATCAGATTTAAGATGTATATATGTTTATGAAATGGTTGTGTCTTACGGTCTCAAGACAAAAGCATATTTAAAAAGGGTATTGATGAATCACAAAACCTGTTATGTATATTTTATACAAAAATTATAAATTAGCGTTGTTTAGAGTAGACACTTTGTGAAAGCAGAAACTGACATTAATGAAGACAAATATGAATCTTTTAGGGGAATCTCTTTAACTGATTCAATTACACTGTCTTATCTTTTTTGCTTTCCTTGGTCTCCACGTTATTTCTTATTTTATTATAATTAAACAGCTGTTTGACTGATGGGATTCACCTTGGCTTCCAGTACAGGCTTTCTACAACGGTTTTTTTCTTTGGGAAATGATTTTTATGACACTAGTTGGTGTAGCTGAAAATGGTTTAGCCTGAAAGTGGCAGATATTGGTCGCTTGAAACCTCAGAACATGGGACTGCAGAAGCTTGTTACCTGGGAAGTCCAGTGCAGCCTCAGGGTACATACGTTTTTGAACATACTGACACTGAACAGGGCAAATGGTGATTTAACTCTAAATCCCGTTAGACTATAAATCCTAGTTGACTGTAAAATGGTGATATAGAAAATGTAGGTGGGTAAATATCATCAAAACCACATATATATGATATATATATCAATAAATTAGAATGTCGTGGAAAAGTTCATTTATTTCAGTAATTCAACTCAAATTGTGAAACTCGTGTATTAAATAAATTCAATGCACACAGTATACAGTATATATATATTCTGTTCACATTTAATCAATACAGTATATTTCAGTTGTAGTATTTCTCCTACTTCGACCACAGTTCTGGCCGTATAATGTTTCACTAATCTTATTGCAATGCATTTTTTGCTTTATAGTCTTTGTTCTTTCCTTCACAATTTCTTCTCTGTTGTAGTCCACTTTTAAAAGTTGTATAAATGTGTTTTGCACATTTCCAACTGATAGCGGAGAAACATTATTACTGATCAAAACTTCAAATTAAGCATTTATTGCAGTGTTCTCTTGTCATTTCTTCAGCATTGTGAAAGCTGCTTAGAAATTGGGATCCCTTTGAAAGTGCCGTTTTATTGCCTTTTAAACACTTCGCTAATTTAGTGTGTTCTCCTGGTCTTGTAAACAGACTTTAATGGTCTGTGTCTACCAACTCACTGCTACGGCTTCATAACACTGCTAAAACATGGACAAACCATCTACTGCAGTCTAATTTAATCACGAAAGGGACCCCCACTGCACTTTTGAGACCAAAATGAGACTTTAAGAGCAGCTAAAGAGCTATGAGTCATTGTAATAATGTTGTGATTATGCAGTGTTAGTTTATGATTTACAAGACATGCATGGAAAACCTCATCGACAAGTATCTTTGGTTGAATCATCACGTTCTTACTGTGAGTTGAGGACAAGGTAATTTTAATGAGTGCATTTTCATATTTTAGACAGCTCATGGGATGCCGAGCGGCATCGGTTTTGAAATCACGGTACATAAAACATTAAAACGTATTTTTGGGGATGTGACAGAGTGGCTGAATCAAACGGTCTAAGTTCTGACTCTCTGCTTTGAAACAGTAAGTCCATGACAGGAACTCTCCAATGGATTGAAATGGGTCACAGTTTAAACGGGTCAGCTCTGATCCGGAGTCCGGATGTTGTGTGGATGTTGGAGAATAACATGGCTAAAACTCGGGGCTTTTGAATTTTGTATAGGAGTTGTTTAGCCTAGTGGGAGGAATATTTCACCCACAAATTAAAATTCTGTCATCATTTACTAACTAATGCCATTTCAAATGCGTTTGTTTTTACAGGCTTGACACATCAACTTTTTACAGAGCCACAAAGGGGACATGGTGATGGAAAAAAAAACACAGATGGGAGGAAAACTTGCATCACAAAAAAAGTTTCTGTCACAAAAATATTGCAGTCTTTGCGGTCTCGCAAAATATTTGCGTTCTATAGCAAACTATTGTGTTCCCCTGAGAAACATTGCGCTTGCTCTGAAAACATTTGCACTCTCTCACAAATCTATTGTGTTCCCCAGGGAAACTTTGCATTTGTTTGCAAAACATTTGCATTCT